TTTGTACTCGCCGACATGCATCCATTTGGTAGATGACCACTTGTTCCCTCTAATCACAGGACATCCACCTAGAATTAACAGCAACCACATGTTCAATGGTATAGGAAAAACAAGATTTAGAAAATTGTTTCGAATAATTTTCAAAACCAAAGGTAGTTTACCATGCAAACTTGTAGGATCCAGTGTAGCATCAGGCCTCATGCTCCAGAAAAGCAATGCATCGCCCATTCTCGGCTTTACAGAAAGTCCCTTTTTCCCACACTCAGAGAGCTCATTATACCACGGTACAGAACTAAAATTCATATTGGCAGCAGGAAAAACTGTTTCACCGCCTTCTTCAACATCCGACCTGTAGAACAAGGGTTTTGAAGAAAAGATTGGTAAATACAAGAACCTAACAACCTTAAAAACAAAAGAAGAGTTGAGAAAATCTTACAGATACATAAGCATTGTAGCCATCCGTTGACCTCCATTTTTAGTGTTGAACTCATCAACAAAATAATCATAGTGTGGTTCATACTTTTGTCCTGCTTCGTAGTGAAGAACTTGAAGTCCTTCACCATGATCTGCACATTCATCATGCACGAAAAAAGATAAGCACAAATTCATAATTCATCGTGCAGAAGAAAGCTTAGGATCTCATTCTGACAGTAATCAAAAATATAACAGATGAATGCATCTATCTATACATGAACAAGATTCCAGAGATAACGAAAGTCCAAAAACTGCAACTGATCATTGAAAAAATCTTTCATACCTGCTGGAATAAAGGTGTAATCTGCTATTCTCTTCTCAATAGTCTTAATGATTTTGTCCCTTCCTCTCCTAAGGAAAGTCCCTGAGCTTGTACGCACCCTGAATGTGCACATAATTAGTTCAAGAAATCAATAAAACAAGCCACAATGCTTTGCTTGATAGATAAAAGATTCATCATCAGAGCGAACCTGCTATCTTTACTTTTGCCGGTTTCGCTATCTACAACAGTTGACTTCACCATATGTGGTTTGGCAAGACTGATTAAATATTCACATTCTTCCTTCGACTGGTCAAATCAATTAATAAAAGAATCATCAAGTTTTGATTCTTTTGGTTCAAACATGCATCAATTTTTAATTAACAGAGCGAGTATCAAACTGAAACCCAACACACAAATGAGCTTGAACAAGAACCATAAAGTTGCAAACCATCATCGCTAGAGTATTTAAGAAATCAGAAAATAAACGTACCAAGAAATTATGGTAGACGAAAGCTCTAGGCTCCCAAGAGAGCACTTCAGTCCACTGGTCTCCTCTCTTCCCAAGTCCCTCACTTCTGTATTCGACACAACAAAGAAACGAAACAACTTCAATCATAAAAAATCTCTTTTTTAATTGATCAGGAATATAAAGAAATGGATTCAGTTCATGCAATAATAGGGGTCACCTCTCAGTAGCAGCTCGTCGGAAATAAGAGAGATCCATGGGAGAAGATTCATCGTTGTTAATAGGAAGAGAGAAAACCCCAAAAGCCAAAAGCATCAATAGAACAATCGTTAACATAAACAGCATAAACAGAACCAGCATCAATGTCGACCATTTCCTCGCTTGAAATCTCGACTGTCTCACTTTCGCCATTAACGAAGCAAGATCGATCCACCCGACACAACACAACACAAATAAAAAAAAAGGTGCAAAAAATTTGTAAAACGAAACAGAGATCGAAACCAGCAAATCCCAAAAACCTCTTGAGATGCAGAAAACAAAAGAGGTCAAATTTATATTTCAGCAAATAAACGTTTCTTCCTTGTAAGGACGATTCTTCTCTTACTTTTTTCTATATATCTCTCTCTGTGTCTTTTAAGTTCTAATGTGTTTACGAATCTGGAAATGACATTTGTACCCTTTCATACGTGATGATGTGGCGATATTATAGTTATTGCAGGTTGGGTAAATAGGGATGATTTAGTCAATTCAGTTGGGAATTGGTTTTTGTTTTCCCAGCACAATGTTTTTTTTTAATTATTACACACATACATTTCAACCAATGGGCTATCTGATGATTACTACATTTCCATACAAACTACATACACAGAAATCTTTGACTACAAATCTTCAATATTATTTATACATAAGGTATTTCTCTTTTTTATTTGCTTATTTTTCATTATGATATATTCAAAAATCTTATTAATTTTTATGGAAACATAGAGTAACCAATCATAATAAATGTAGTGCAATTTAATAAGCAAATCAAACTTAATTTAATTACAAAAGTTGGTAAAATGAATAATAAAAATACAGTATTCTATATGGTAAAAATGTGCTAAACCCCAAATTTTTATTACATACAGAAAGAGAAAGTCAATGTTGTCAACGGCACGTTTGCTAGTGACATCATTATTACGTTTTTACCATCCATGCTGAAACAAATTGGGCTTACGAGGCTTAGGTTAATGACTTTTTACCCATTTGTATATTGGGCCTATCTAAGCCTATATATTAAGAAAAGGTATAATTTGTTTGATTATCAAGAATGGGTGTGTAACACAATCATATATAGACGTGCGTACTTTTTTTTTTGGTAAAAGGTTAAATTTTATACCAATTTTCGAATTTGCGACAGAAGTTACAGAGAAAACGAAGAAATCCAGAATGACCGAAATCTACAACTAAAAAATTTATGAACACAAGACAAAAACACGACAAGGAAAGCATTAGCGAAACAATTAGCAAAGGCCCGAAAAAGAAACATCAATTCCGAACCGCTAAGTTCGAACATTTGCGTGATTGCCTCAGCTCCAAAGAACTCGAGTCCTCATCGTTGTTGCCACGAGCAACCCTACCCAAAGCCAGCCTTCAAAACCTCGAGACAAAAGGGCGCCTACAGCTTCTCCGAGGACTAACGCAAAAACGGAACCGCTAAAATTGGACCTAATCGCACCCGGCGGCATGGGAGCATCTACGGGCAGCCAGAGAAGCCGCCTCTGACCACCATTCCCAAGCGTGAACCATCGGGAACCATCTCCCACGGGATTGAGAAAGCAACCTAGACAGAACCGCTGCCTCTATTCAACCACTAAGCCTTCGCCGATGAGAAAAGCGTAGCAAACCAAGACGCAACAATACAAAGAAGACACAAACACCAACAACAAACCCCAAACCAGCCTATGCAAAACAGCAGCACAAGCCTAGGAAGATCCAACCGGAACGAACCAAATCAAAAACACCAACAACGAACCTCCGATACAGAGAAAAGGAGACCTGACGAGAAGCCACAAACTAGCAACTACGGAAGACGCAGCTGACACCAACGTCCACCCACAAGACAGAAGAGATTCGCCGTTAATGGATAACCGCCACACGAACAACCAAAAGCAGCAATTCCAAACAAATTGACGCCGAGGAAGCTTCCACTTGTGTCACAGATCCAATGCCCTTCACTCTCTGCCACCAGAAGCTTGAAAACCGTTGAAAGAGAGACCGATGAAGACACGAAGAAACAGAAGCTCGGAGGTGAGACCAAGAACCGGATCAACACCAACACTGAAAAGGGAGAAAGGCGAAAGAGACCGGCTAGCTAAACCGGAATCCAGAGGCACCACAAGCACAGCCACCGAAGGAGACCATAACCAACATTAGACGTGCGTACTTAATATATACAACATAACCAAATTCCTTAGTTATTAATTACAGCAAACTTGCATAAAAAATACTATATTATAAACTTTTAATAATGCCAGCAAATTCAATTTCGTCGAGAACAAGGAACCCATGTTTGTGTTCCGATCCCAATCTTCCAAACATAACAAAGAAAAAACACTCTTTCAATCATGTGATTCACATGCATGTACGATATTACAACAACGAAACTCGTCGACCTTAGCTAATCCAAAGAGAGGACCAAACGACTTATCGATCGTTCTTTGAATGTTTCTTCTCAAGAAACATATACATCCATGACCATGACCATGATCGCCTGCTTGCTCGTGTTCTTTGTCGTCGTCGTCATCAAACGATACTTCACGCCAATAAATACGCTTGGAAGTCTCTGGATCATATATAGGCTCTTTCACTTTGACGTAACGGCGGCGTTTAGAGGACGTAGGCTTATGCTCGAACGGAGGCGTTTGAGTCCCGGCAGGATAACGAGACGGAATCAGATTCTTTAACGACACATACTCCTCTGTCTTCTTCTCATTCTCCGGCGTCCTCACCGACGGCAATATTTGGTAAGAACCCAGTGTTTTTTTTTGTCTTCTATATCTGTTTTTGGTTTTTTACTGATTGAGCTCTGCTTTTGTGTTTTCCCCGATGATTGGATAAGTAATTATATATATCGAGGATAAACAACAAAAAGTTTATACAATTGTAGAATTAAGGTTGGTGTATTGCTAAGATAAATACTAGTCCGAGTAAGAATTGGAATGAGAAGACAGCATAAGCGTGTGTTGTTAGGACTTCTGAATGAAAAGGTTATGTGAAATTATCAAAGCCTGATCGGATTAGGATGTAGAATACTAGAATATTAGAGACTAATTAAGCTTTAGAATGAGTCTTTCTTTTTTTTTTAATCAGTTCTAAACCTTTTGTCATTAGGATATTTAGTAAGAAAATTTTATTAACAGTGTTATATAATCGACTCACATCAGATGTAATCGACTCACGTGTGTTAATAATGTATGCGAGTATACTACCATCCATTAGTATGCAAAGTAAAATTAGTAGACTTTTGAATATAAAATTACTACCATCCATCCATTTCACGAAATTCTAACTTGACTTTTTTTTTTTTTTTTTACATAAATCATGAATAAAAGTACAATTCAAGTACCGAAGACTTTACACAATCTGAAAATTTTGATTATAGATCACATAACTATGGAGTATGGATGGACTATGAATTGACAAAACAAAAAAAAAGAAAAGATATACAGTGTGTAACAAAGGGAAAACAGGGCTGATCTGAAACGACGCCGCTTGAGCTTTCATTTGGAAGCAAAGCAAATTTGACCTTATCATTCATATTCATCTCCTTCTTCAAAATCGCCACTCTGACTCTGCTCCGTTCGACATTCTAGAAGAGAGAGTGACCCAAATCTCCCATTCATGGCGTTATTACGATCAAAACTCCATCTTTCTCGAACCCTTTCCCTCATCTCTCCTCATATACCCAAACCATTGTCCACCTCCGCAACTTCTCTACTCCATGACCACGAAGGCGACGAATCCGCCGTCGTCTCTGTCCCTATCTCACCTGCGTTAACTCCAGCAGATACACAAACAGCAGAAAAGTTGCATTCGATCATCAAAGATCACTATCGCAAAAACCCTACTTCCTCCAACGACGCCGTCTTAAACCCTAGCTTAACCCTCCCATCTCTCTCCCTCGACTTCTCCCAAATCGAAGCTTCTCGAATCTCTCCTTCCGTCGTGCAATGCGTTATAGAGAAGTGCGGCGGTGTCCGCCATGGAATCCCTCTTCACCAGTCTCTCTCTTTCTTCAATTGGGCAACTTCACGAGACGAATATGATCAGAAATCGCCTCATCCTTACAATGAAATGATTGATCTTGCTGGAAAGGTTAGACAATTCGACTTAGCTTGGCACTTGATTGATCTCATGAAATCGAGAAATGTAGAGATTTCGATTGAGACCTTCACGATTTTGATTAAACGTTATGTTAGAGCTGGATTAGCTTCAGAGGCTGTCCATTGCTTTAACCGTATGGAAGATTACGGATGTGTTCCTGATAAAATCGCGTTTTCCATAGTTATTAGTATCCTTTCTAGGAAGAGGAGAGCTACTGAAGCTCAGTCGTTTTTTGATAGCTTGAAGGATAGATTTGAGCCTGATGTTATAGTTTACACCAATTTGGTTCGTGGGTGGTGCAGAGCTGGTGAAATCTCTGAGGCAGAGAGAGTGTTCAAAGAGATGAAATTGGCTGGGATTGAACCGAATGTGTATACTTACAGCATTGTGATCGATGCGTTGTGTAGATGCGGGCAAATCAGCCGTGCCCATGATGTTTTCGCGGATATGTTAGATTCAGGTTGTGCTCCAAATGCTATTACTTTTAATAACTTGATGAGGGTTCATGTGAAAGCAGGAAGAACAGAGAAGGTTTTGCAGGTTTATAACCAGATGAAGAAACTAGGATGCGAGCCTGATACTATCACTTATAACTTCCTCATTGAGACTCATTGCAGAGACGAGAATCTTGAAAACGCAGTCAAGGTTTTGAACACGATGATCAAGAAAAACTGTGATGTGAATGCTTCGACTTTCAATACAATATTCAGGTACATCGAGAAGAAGAGAGATGTGAATGGTGCGCATAGGATGTATTCAAAGATGATGGAAGCAAAGTGTGAGCCGAACACGGTGACTTATAATATACTGATGAGGATGTTTGCTGGGTCAAAATCTACTGATATGGTTTTGAAGATGAAGAAAGAGATGGAAGATAAAGAAGTTGAGCCGAATGTGAATACCTATAGGCTTTTGGTCACAATGTTTTGTGGGATGGGACATTGGAATAATGCTTATAAGTTGTTTAAAGAAATGGTTGAAGAGAAGTGTTTGACACCGAGCTTGTCTTTATATGAGATGGTTCTTTCTCAGCTAAGGAAAGCTGGGCAACTGAAGAAGCATGAAGAGTTAGTGGAGAAAATGATTCAGAAGGGACTCGTCGCTCGGCCATTATAGGAACCTTCCAAGCATCAAAGCAGAACCCTTTTTTTTTTCTCAATAACTTTTAAGGTTGTTTTAAAGGAATTTTATCGTCGATCAGATTGTAACTTCGTTTTGAGCACAACACTTGGATAACTTGCGATTAGAAGTATTACTGTACCATTTGTACTCTTTTTTTTTACTTTATCTATAGATCACACTACGTTTTTCGGTTACTCTGGGCAATATAACTTCTCGGCTGTACATGGAACCATGATAATAAATCCTAAATGATTTGCAATGTTAGGTTCTGCAGATCAATGTAATGAAACATTATAGATCACCTCGTGGGAAACACATGACAAAAGCCATGGCATGAATCATGTGTATAAGCTAATGAGATCGCAACAGACCTAGAAGTTATTCAAGACAGAGAGAGTAAGCAGCAATGAGGCCAACCAAATATGTAGTTGAGATATTGGCTCTGATTGGTTGCAGCCTCTTGGTCAATTGCTATTCTTTTTATTGATTTTTTCTTTTTTGTTAAAGAAGATCTTATTTCTTTACAAGATAACGTTATCTAATATTATATGGTAAATATATTCTTTCTGTCTAAGTTTCATTAAACTGTCATTTTCCACGATATGCATCATGTATCTCACTGATAAGTTTCTTTAAAAAAATGTTCTTAAGTTATGTTTCAACTGTTATCTTCTCTTCATAATATGTCCCATAAATGTAATAGATGTTTATAGTTTGGAAAACAAAACAAAAAAATTGTCTGAGTGTTGGATCTTTCGATTTAATGCGTGTGTACATCGTACATTATAAACTATGATTCGTCATGAAATAAGGAAATAATTTTGTTGTTGTAAATAAAACAGCAATTTTTTATTTTTATTTTTTTGTCGGCAAATAAAACAGCATTTAACGAGGGAAGACTGAAGAGAGGAACTAGTTCTCAAACGTTCAATGACAAAAAAAATGTACTAACAAATAATGTTATGTGACCTCTATTATTATAATAACACACTTAGTCGTTCATTGACCAAAAGCCAAAAGGACAAGTGTTCACTTTATCCATCGCTATCAGTCCAATTATATATCGGTTTACCAGCTGTTCCATGGACTTAGTTAATTATAATAAACTAATCCCACGCAATTAAGCATAACAATCAGGTGGCCTAAATAAATAGCACTACAAATGTACAAAGCACAACACATGTATGATTAAAAAGTCAAACAAACAATAAATCTAAATCGCGTAAAAGACGAAGACAAAACCTAAATGAAAACATTGTAAACCAAACCAAACAATACATACACTCTTCTTCACACCATATAATTTCTGTGAACCGGGACAAAGTCGGCCGTAAAAGTCTATGAAGACATAAATGTCTTCTCCGGTTTAAGTCAAATATGTATGGTAATGACATAAGGTCTTATCCGGTTTAGTTCAGCTCTGACCAAAACCCTCAATTTGATGACGTCACCACAGTTGACAATTTCAATCTTGTTCTTCTTTTATGATCCCCTTCACTTTCTCAGAAGTTTCAGACACAACAGAGCATATAAAACCAAGAATCATCTGTTTCGCATTTTACGAATAAATGGAAAAAGCTTCCAACAGCAACAAGTCCACAAAGTTTTCGAAGATGCTTCAAAGAGCGTTGTCCATTGGTCACAGTGCGGCACCGTTTAGTCCAGGGAGAGATTTTCATCATTCCCGTACGGCTTCGACGGTGCACAGAGGAATCTTCTTCTCCAGTCCCTTGGTTCCCACGGCAGCTAGAGTTAGGAGAAGTACCAAAAACGAAGGCGTTTTGGCCGAACCAACTTCGCCTAAAGTCTCCTGCATCGGTCAGGTCAAACTCAATAAGCCCAAATGTTCATCGGAGAGGAAGAACAAAGCGACTAACAAACTCAAAACGGCGTCGTCTTTATCGTCTTGTGCTATTAAAGAAGAAGAAAACAGAAGAAGCTTTTCGAAACTAAAGCGTCTCTTCTCAACGTTGAGTTTTTCGTCGAAAAAATCCAACTCCACCGCCTTCGCCACGGCTGCGGTTGAGGAACCGGTCGTGGCGGTGGCGCCTTCGTTGGGTAAAATGAAGAAATTCGCCAGCAGTAGAGGAGCTCTCGGTGGATTCGATTGGACGGTGGAGATGAAACGTCAAGAATCACAATCGGATCACCAGGACGTAACGATTCCATACTCACAGAGCATGCCCCTGACTCAGCTGGAAGGTTTGAGTCTGTGTCCGAAACCGAAGAGTGAAGTTAATCTGTGGAAGAGAAGAACCATGGATCGGCCAAAACCACTTCAAGTTAAAGTTACTTCTTGACTTTTCTTCTGTATATTTGTTTTTATGTGTCTGGAATTTCGTGTCTACCACGAATTGATACTCGTCAGGTCGTTACTACGACGTATGAAGTCTGATTTTATTTTTTTGTGAATAGACAGACTGAAAAAATATATAAAATAATCCAATGTGTGAATACATCAAAACTTTTTTGTTACATTTGTCTAGACTTGTATACTTTTTTTTTTGCCCCGGCTAATGGGGGATTTGAAATCCTGCTGCATATGATCTCAATTATTAAACCCGAAACATGTTTGCATAACACATTAATTAGTGATTTGGTTCGATATGTTTTTGGGATTATTCAGTTTTGAGTATAATTATTGTATGAAAACCAACACTTATTATGCTAGTTAAAGCAAAACACTCCTCTTTAGTCTTTACCTTGAGGAAATTTTACTGAACTAAAAACCAAAATTTTCACTGAATGATTAAATAATTGACAAGAGAATCAACACATCAGAGACCGCGATATATCTTAGATATAGACTCTTACCGGGTAAGTCTATATACATACCAAAACCAGACTTAAGTAGACCGAAAACTTTGGTAATGTTCATTAAGGTGTTTTTTTGGTGTGTGGTCAAGATATAAATAAAAGGTTATAGATCACAATCTTGTCTAATGAGTTCTCGAATTCACTTGTAAAAGAAGACAGTGAGAATAACAATATAACAAAGAAGCCAAGGGGATATCACTCTCCTCCACCTCCTCTTTGACATTCTATCAAACATGAAATTTGTTGTGACTTGTATAATATTTTCAAGGGGAGTTAGAAAACATGAAAGCCTAGGCGTTTCTTTACATATATATTTAGGACTTATCACAAATGTCATTTGGCAAAAGAAAAATTCACAAGGATTAAAACACCTCAACCACTATTACTTACACGAATAATGACTATACTTGTGTTTGCCTCAACATATATACGTGTTTGTGTCAAGATTATAACAAGAAACGTGGACACGCATACCAAGCAATGCTCCTCACAAGATGAATAAGTAGAGTTCCTCGCATGCACCTCCACCTTTTCTAGTATCTAAGTATCTAACTCTTTTGATTGGAACTTGTAAAACTTAACATTCTTCATTCTTGTTGCTTCCATATATTAAAGGTCAAATGTGTTTTATGTTGCCTTCTAAGGTTTCAGGGTAAAATATTGATTCAAATTGCTATGTATTGTTCTTGAAGCAAAAGCCTCACGTCTTTCGAATCTAATTTCTCAATTCCGCCGCAGAAGAACTCTTTATGAACATTCTTGAGGACTTTCAAAACATTCCTCAATGATATGTGGCTCTTACTGTCGTCACTCTTCTCCTCTGCGTAAGATTTAGACGCCTTATGATAACAGTCTCTGAAGTATTTGTACTTGGTGATCTGAAGCAAATTCCTCTCATGCTCAGGCCAAACTTGACGAGTGTCATCAACAATCACAACTCCACACTCATCAGCCAAGACAAGATCAAGCGTCTTGGTATAACCACTCTCGTCTCTAGTAATGACTCTCTCCCCAAAATATACTTTCTTCGGATCAACTTCAAAACAGCCTGAACGTAGTCGCGGTTTCCCATCGTGTAGACATACATGCAGAACAACTCGTTGGCTTCTCTCAGGAACTCATGGAGATAAGGTCGAAGCTTTATCAACATTTCTCTGTCAAGCATCAAAAGATCTCCCCTAAAATATGATTCTCGTAGCAGATACTCCTCTGCTTCGGAAAGCCGTGAGACCATAACGGAATGGAGAAGCGTGTGGTCCAAGTCAAGGACTAGATGAAGTTTCTTCTTGTTGAGACAAGCCAACTGTGTAGTAAGGCTCTTTGTAACTAAAACGGCTTTGTGGCTTAACTGTAAACCGTGGACGAGATAGTCGAATGCTCGGCCGTGGTCTTTGTCTACCGTCGATCTGCAGTTACAGCAGATTCCGTAACGGACGAAGAAGTGGCTACAGTTTGATGTTACCCTAATGGATTCTGGTTCTAGACAAGAGGTTTCAATCACATGCATCGTTTGATTGACTTGATTGTGGATTAAAGATTGAGAGAAGAAACTATGTGCGTAAACCCTGTTTTTAGGGTAGGGACCCCTTTATTTATAGAAGTAGATTTTGTTTACCAATCTTGTTCCCAAGCGATGTGGGACTCCTTTCTCTCAAACAACGTTTTCTTTAGGTTTTCGTTTAGTTTGTTTATGTCGATGGTTGTTTGACTGATTTAGACCAAAAAAAAAAAAAGCCTATGGTGAAGAGCCAGTTGAGCTCAAACAGTAATAACCTTTGAAGTCAACAAGCTTCTGCAACAATGGGACATCCAGTTGAATCATATTTATGCGTGATTAAACTGTTTCTGCTTCACATAGTTGTCAACACTTTCTCTAACAACAAACATACACATCCCAACAACATAGTATTTCTTTTAAACTAATTAAAATCATTTTAACTCTATGCATCTCAATAAATATTAAGGATTTATATATTTTTCTATTATGAAATATCATTATCAAAAAACGAGAGCATGCCACAAAAGACCAATCAGATGAGACAGTGATATAATGTACAAAAAAATTTAGTTCTGCTTCTCTTCCTGTCATTTTCAGTGTGAATCAGCACGATCTGGAATCAGATCATGACATCAAAAAGAAAAAGAAGAGTCAGAACACTAAATCTATAAAGTGAGAGAGTTGGCCAAAATTGTGAGAAATAAATGCCTTGGTTATACAATTTTCATCAGATATAATCGTATTACTCGGAAAGAATCACACGTGAATTAGAGAACAACTAAACCAAAATGTATCACAATTCTTCTTTTAATAATAATAGAGCTAATCATCTAATAAGTATATAATACGTTACCAATAATTCAAAAATAAACACCACGCACGCGTTTCCCAATTCCCACTCTCACACCACTATCTCCGTGCGACAATAACCTAAAAGAAAGCTTCTTTACAATTTCAATTTCTTGTCGCGACACAGAGTTTTCTATAAAATTAATTTTAAATCAAATACTAGTCTCAAAACCAGAACATAACATTCAGACACTCACTCACATCAGTCAGTAGTACATACACAGGCTGTCGACACCAAAGTACACTCAAGTAATTAAGAATGTCTTAAACACACTAATAAAATTACTTAATAAGCCCCCAATGTCTCGCCGGCTCTACTACGCTTCCGGCGGAGATATCAACGAGTAAGATTCTTCTTATAATGCCAACAAGAAAATAAAAAAAACCTAAAACTTCTTGAAACACAAACCAAATTCAAAATTAAACACCAAAAAAAAAGAGTACATTAACCAAGTTGATTTAACTTCAAAATAAAAATTAAGAGAAAAAAAAAGAAAAGAAAACAAAATGAGACAATTCTCCCCATACGGCGGAGATTCTTTTTCTAGCTTTTTTTTGTTTTTTTGGATTTTATAATTTTCAAGAAGTCTCCACCGGCGGCGGCGATGATGAAGATTCCGGTTTTCTGCAGAGAATCATATGCATAGGAGAGAAAATACCGGTCTCACCTCCTCTGGTCAAAAAATCAGCAGTCTTAAACAACATCTCATGAACATCGACGGTTCCTTTAGGGGCAACTCCGAGAGCAGACAGTATCTGAACGACAATGTGGTTCCTCCAGTAAGCAAGCCGGCCCATCTTAAGCCTCGCCCACCACGGCTGAGACGGTGGAGCCGCCAGATCCTTCTCCTTGACAACCTCGAAGCCAACCTTTTTAGCCGTCTCAGCTATGTCCACGTAAGCCCTGAGCCCGGGCAACGCGTCACCCCTCTCAATCCCTTGGATCACCTCCACGTGTTCGTCATCCTCCGGCTTGAACTTCTCGGTCGTAACCCACTCGTACGATACGTACATAGATCCGGGTTTCAACACCCTGTAGATCTCGGCGTACACTTCCTCAAGCTTCGGCGCGTGACACGTGGCTTCGATGGAATACGCGCCGTCGAAACTGTTATCATCGAACGGCATCTGGAGGAAGTTGCCGCACACGACCTCGCAAAGCGCGTCGAGCCCAGCTTTCTTGTTGTGGAGACGAGCTCTCTTCACCTGGTACTCGTTGATCGTAATCCCAACCACGTTTGCCCGCGAGTGAGATGCAATCGCTCGCATCGGACCGCCCACGCCGCATCCGACGTCCAGGATCTTTTGACCGGGTTTGACTTGGATCAGATCTACGGCCATCTCCTCGTGGAGGCGCGTGGCGTCTTTGTTGGATTTCCCGGGGAGGGAAGGGGAGAAGTGGAAGGACTGACCCCATCCCCACTCGTAGATGTCGGTGACGAGGTTGTAGAAAGTGTCGACGAAGTCAGGAACTTTCTCGGCGGTCTCGATCTCTTTGGGACGGCGGAAGAAAGACCAGTACTGTTTGTAGTTGTCTTGGACTTTCTCCGCGGAGATTGAGCCGCCTGAGAGATCTACGGCTCGTTTGCCTTTACGCTCTGCAGGACCCAGGACGCAGAGGAACCAGTAGATACCGCCGGCGACGAGAGCGCCGGTGAAGAAGAGTGTTAGAGAGTCCATTTTTCGTTACGAGTGAGGAACAAGAAGAGAGAGAGAGAGAGAGAAACTTTGTTACGCCTCCTTTTTACTACTTCTTGCCGGATTTATTACAATGATATTGGAGTCTTTTTTTTTTTTTTTGTAGATAAATAGATATACTAAGAATATATGTATGTATATATATATTATATATTAGAATCTTTTAAAAAATAATATTCAATTCATAAAAACAAAAAGAGAAAATTGTTAATGTTACAAATCCAAATTAGGAATATTAAAAATATATATTTAATTTTTGTTTTTCCCTCTTTCCTTAGAGGTTGTGCAAATTTAACAAAGAAACTTAAAAATCCAAAACAAGAACAATACTATGGATTTAGAGATTACTTTCCTTTTTTCTTTTGTTAAATGTTATCCTAAATAAAAAAAAAGGAAACAAAATTTTACAGAAAATTTTATGGAGGGGGTGATAAATGTGGTCTACGCTAATTCCAAATATTTATGAGAAGAGAGCCTAATTTGCTCTTTGACTAATAAGAAATAAAACTCCAAACTCCAAAGGTAGGTCAAGCAAGTAAATAGAGAAACGCTTGGAATTTTTATTTTGGCATTAAAAGACATTTATTAGTCTCCGAGGAATTTTCTCAATTCATTATATCTACCTACAATTACGAGAAAATAATAATACTAGTGAAATTGTACGTATTTCGAAAGAAAACAATAAATAGAAAAGTGAGGTCCCTGGTGTGAGGGTGCATACGTAACGCCAAATTTGAACTATGGCCGTCTTTGAGGGATGGATTCACGTGTGTTGGTGTGGTGGAAGAAGAGTACTCTCTCTCTCTCTCCATCTCCCTCTCTCGCTGAATAATATTGAATATTTTGATTATGCAAAATGTCTTCGTGCTTTCATGTATACATTAATCTTTTCATATATATATATTACAATTGAACCATTCGACCAAATCGTGTCCATATTCAAACTTATCACTTGCAATTTGGCTACCACCAACCCAAGTCTTTAGCCAACGCATCAATTTCACATCCTCCTACCACGGCTACAACATCAGCACATTTGGAAGGAACAAAATCACCGAGAGAGACTCTTCACGGTGGAGTTTTATTTTTCAGTCCTATCGTACACCAAACATATTGGCCATAACACAATTCGTTTCGAAAAGACACACATGCAAAGTCAGCAAAATTTAGAAACTAGAAAAAAAAAATTGTAAAGTAGAAAAGTAAAAGCTGATGTACATGATCTAGTTGTTTTCTTTTCTAACTAAACAACAAAGATGAATGAACAATATGAGAGACAAGTACCGACCAGAGAAAAGGAAATCACGTGGAAGCTTCTCTTTTATACATAAAGAGGGCTTTTCGAGTTCTATACAAATACAACAACAAAAAGTCGACTCATATGACTCCGCTGATCTGCTCTTATCTTTTTTGTCGCTTTCTTGTTTGGCTTGTGTGTTGTTCTCTCAGACCATTATCATCATCATCATCTCAAAAGATGCTCTTTCTTTTAACCTTTGGATCTCTGATGTCTCCTGAACTGCTCTTTTTTGTATTTTCCCATTCTAATACATATATATTGATGCACAATCAACACTTTTGCTTCTTTGACAAAAAGCCATAACAAACCCACATCCGAATGTCGATCATGTCATGTAGAAAGTAGAAACCAATTTATTTTTAATGATCTGTATAACTCCCGCGGAATATTTTATTGCACGTGTTAATGGGCTTACTGGTCCATTAATTATAATGGGTTTAAACAGGTCACTAAATTAACCTATGATTTAACTTTTTAATCTCACTATCCACTATTTTCGTGATTAATCGCATCTCTATATTAGTAAAAGAGAAGTACAAAATAAAATACGGGTCGGGTCAAAATTAAAAAATTAACCCGATTTCATCAATTGGATACTTCAAAAATGGATATTAAATTGGGTTTGGATACATACATCGGATACTTTCCATATCTAATTTTAGGATTGTATTATTTCCATAACTAATTATATGATTTCCAAATATTTCTCTAACTAATTTAATATAATCTATTAAAATAATAATTATTCTTCTTTCACTTTTATTTGATCTTATTTTTAATTAATGATATTGTACAATATAATATAAATATTTAATAAAAATTAACTTTTTTTTGTATATACTGCAATTTGAATTTTTTTAAACGGACATATAATACTCAACTACACTCGATTAAATATTTTGGACAATGGTTTAAAATCATTATTAGTATGACCAATATTAAAACCATTGTTACATGAGCATATTTAAAATTTTAAAAAGTTTCAAAATATTATGATTAAAAGGTTCAAATATATTAAAAAATTTAGAATTTAAAATATTGAAAAAAAAAATTTAAGACATAAATGTAATTTTGGAGACATCATTTTTATTGATAAAATATATTATATATCAAACTATTTAAAATTTAGATAGTTCACGGGTAGTTTGTTAAAATCACAATTATAATGATAAAGCGAGTTATGAATAAGGTTTTTTAC